CCCTTTTCTCTTCGGTGCCACCCCCCACCATAAATAATGACCGGTCCCTAATAATGAAAAAAATTTCTCAAACTCAAATTTTGCGAACCTGGGGTGTGTGTCTTTTCCAACAAACTGAAAATGGCTTGCACACGAAATTGAAAAGCTTTAAGGGACTGCACATTTTTATTGTACAGGGGAGACTGAGGAGAAACTCTACAGTTATATTATTTTTTTGTTGCCCCCTCTTAAGACAAGTAAAATTTTCAAAGCCCCCCCCCCCAACAGTCAAAACAAGAACATAAATTTTGATCCCCCCTCTAGCTCTTTATCTTTATTTAGAGAAACAAAAACTCTAGCTCTTTATTTAGAGAAACAAAAATAGATAATGGGGACCAATAGACAATTCCCATTATAGACTAATTTTTTTATCGTAGGAAAAAAGTATATTCCAGGGAAGGGCATACTAAAATTAGTAAAATTGCAAAGTTTGGTTGCAAAATGTTATAAAATGTAAAAAATATAGCCTTCTAAAGTTTGCAAATTTTGTATACTTTTGTATTGCAAATTTTGTATACTTTTGTATTGCAATTTTCACATGCAATACAAAAGTATACAAAATTTGCAAACTTTGCAAGGCTATATTTTCCGTATTTTACGACATTTCGCAACCAAACTTTGCAATAATTTACTTATTTTATTATGCTCTTTCTAGCTGTGGTGATTTATTTGCATCAAGGCCGGATTTTGAGGCGAAATATAGAGAGGTGCGCACATCCTCTGAGATCGTTTTGCACCTCCCCTGAGAATTTTTGCACCTCTCTCCTGAAATGTCATGCACCTCCCCTTGGGAATTAGTTTCAATGATGGAACAAAGTGAAAATGTGATGGCTGCTTAGGATCTACACTTTGTGATGTAAGAAATGTCTCTCTGTAAAATTGAAACAGTGATAGCCATTCATCTCTGTGTCAAGTACCCTTTTAATGCAATGTTTTGAAAGAAACTTTGTAGCAATTGTAATGATCCAGACTGAAAAGTTTTTTGTCTGCGCAGGGAACATTTCATTTCTTAAAAATTTTGCGCGGATAATTGCTGTGGAACTTGTTATTACATGAAAATTTTTGCGCGGATCCATCCTGGCATTCCTGCGGATAGCACAAAATCTATGAGCTACGAGAAGACAAGATAACAAAAATGATTTTTTTTAAGGTATTAATTAAAGACAAAATGCTGTAGATACAATATTAGTACAATTAATCACGATCCTAACAAAACTGAACGTTATAAAACTGTCCCTCTCCAAACTTCAAACTACTGTATATCAATATAAACAGTAACATTTTACATCTTTATCTAAGGAAGGGAAGCCCAGTTTTAGATTCCTTGATCCTGGTTAACACTTTCGAAAGATCTTGTGACTGAAAGGACTTCCTATTTCGGTATATAGGAATATGATGTTTTTTAATACCAAGGCTGCGGTTTCCATGGACGTACAGCTTCGACATTTCATCTATAGCCCTGTCGCAAGCAAGAACAGGAGGAAAGCACCAATCCACTTTCGCTCTTTCGCCAAGAACTTTAATACTTTGGCCACCATCCATTTCCTGACTATGCACTACACCATAAAATGACTCCACAACTGCCTCATTACCAGTTTTAGCATACATTATGTCGAAAATTATGCAAAACTCTTGGCCAATGGATGAATAGAAACGAGGATCGGTGTACAGCGCCTTGATTACTTCTTGCTCTTGTAAAACTACGGTAAGAACCATTTCTTTGGGTCCTTCACCAAGGATTATGTAATAGATCTCCGATACTGAGAACTTCTGTAGTTTCCGCCTTCTCAAAACTCTTGATGAAGGAATTTTCTGTTAGATGAATTTCTGTAAGGCTGCCTTGAAAAACTTCGGAAACATAGAAAGGAAGGATTCACCCCAAACAACATCGATTAGCATCTCTTTAAGTCGCCAGTAGATTGAGCTACTCAGCTCTTCACATAGTGCCAGATTCTTATTTTTCACGTGCGGGAGTAGTGCCACAAATGCAACACATTTCTTGAACTCTTGGGCTCCAAGTTCAGCAAACGTTGCCTTATTAACGGGTACTTCATGCTGCGTAGCACGCTGACCACAAAGTGCGTCGAACTGTATGCCAAAGTCCAAACATTTGTGGAGGGATTCGTTGAGCTTTGGAAAACCTGTAATAATATAATAAATGTATATTAAATTCAACATTTGTATCAAGAGATTTTCTGGAAGTCTGAAACATTCTTGGCACAAACGTAAACGAATATCATATAGTATAATTTCTGTCGGTCAGCCAGTAGATAACTAGATTTTTACATATAACATCAAAAAGGTTGCAGAAAATTTAGTTCATATTGGATGAGATGAACTGTTGAAAACGGAAGGACATTAATATAAAATTATATAATATTACAAGCTGTAATAGAAAACCTGTCTTGAACCGATCTTGTAATTATCTCTTGATTCCGTCTGCAAGCTCTTTAAGGTCTTTCTGGCAATCTTCTATATCTCTGGCGATCCATTTAAAGTCACCATTTGCCTCCCGTCCGACGATGATCCACCCTGGTTCAAGTTCAACAGACTTGAATCTGTTTCTACGAATATCTTTGGCATGCTTGTTAAGCCTTGGACTAGCTTTCTTGCTTGGGTTCGGCTTCAGAACCTCGGAAGAAAATAGCTCTATTTGGGCGATGGCTGCTTTCACATAAGCTGGAAATTTCCAACCTGGACACCACTGAAGTTGTGCTTTGAGCATGAGGATAACAATTGGCCACAGAAGATCTAAAAGACCACACAAATCAAATACGAAATCAGCCCCGCAAAGTTTGTAGCGCATCTCTTGTTCATCACGATGATCTCGAAATGTTTCCACATAGGCTTCATAACTGATTTCTAGGCGTTTGAGGCTAAGATAACTGCTGCTCATGAATCTTTGCGGTGCATACACATTAGTTACTCGGAATGGTAGATTTAGTTCCTTGGCTGTTTCTTTTGCAGTGGCATACATTTTGCCATGGCGCAAGACTTGGTGGAAAAGGGAAACTCTTCCAAGAACGCGCTTGACAAAACTGTCCTCTTCAAACTTGGTGAAGACCAGGTCGAGTAAGTGACTTGGGTCCCCATGACATTCCCACCATTTATTCTCTAGTAAAACGGCCAATTCTTGTTTGCTTAAGCCTGCAGAATGAAGAATGTCA